ATCCAGACAGCTGCCAGTGCATTCACTATCATTTTATTGTTTGTGTTCGGTTCTGTATCATTTAATCTATCTGCCTCTATGGACAGAGGCAGCAATGCTTCAAAATATCAAGTTGTTTCGTGGGAACAATGGGCAGGGAGAAGGCCCTTCCAGGCTTTCCACAAGCATCTGGATAGCCACTGTTAAGAACAGGATGCTGGCCTTGGTGGGCTCTCTTTGGCCTGACCCAGCAGGGGTCTTTTTATGTGCAATAGTATAACTGTGGGATTCATGCTTTATTTTATCTATTTCATTAATAAACTACCTAACATATATATTATATATATATATATATGCGCATGCGCAGCATACTCAGAGTGGCTTTCAACAATTTAACTAATAATACCACAATATAAAAGCTGAATGCTATGTAAAACTAGTTTTATTTAAATTGGGGGGGGGGGGTCACAGACCCTAAGCAGGGCCATTCCCTGTGAAAGAAAACTAGTCTAAGTGAATGAGACTCTTGCCTCATATTATGGTGGTCTCTAATTTGCAGGCTGAGGATGGGGAAACTCTGGCCCTTCCAACACTGCTGGGCTCCCAGGTCCCGTCAGCCCCAGAGAGCACCCAATGGCCTCAATCAAAAACTGCCACGAACAGGCTTTGTTGGGAGGGATGGAGGTCTGCCTAATCTAGCCTGTTGGCCTTCAAATGTTTCCATGAGGTTTGCAATCTAGTAGTATGCCAAGCAAGTTTCTTCGTATGATAAGGGTCTTGGCTGACCAACTAAGTCCTGATATTCACCATATCCAAAGAGGTTGCTCTGCTGCCAAAGACCAATGGCTCTGCCATTTCCACCTCATTTGCCTGGATGCTTTGGGGTTGCGCTTAATGATACCAAGACGACACTGCTTCTGTTCTGAGAGAGCATCTTTCTAATCAGCAGGCCAGAATGGAAAACGACCTGAAGTTAAAATGTATACTGTGGGTTTTTTTTTTTACTTTCCAACAATTCCAAGTACCAGTTTCTGGAAACCATAAGAGGGGAGAGGGCTCTTGTGCTGCTCATGTCCTGCTTGCAGGCTTGGCCACTATGGTGACAGGATGCTGGACTAAATGGGACCCCTTTGGCCGGATCCAGCAAATTCTTCTTGACATCCCAGTGCCTTTGATGAGCTGTAAACTCTGGAGAGTCTTTCAGATCTCTCTCCTATAGCCTGCTGACCTTTTTCTTTATTTCTAAGACGGCATTATTTTACATTTTGGACAGATGGCGGTGTTTGTGCATCTTTAGATTTTGTCTAAGCTGCCTTGAACATCGATGTCTAAACAAAAGGTAAGGTATAACTTCCAGTGAATAAGAAAGATAGACAGATAGAAAGAAGATAAAATGGACGTATGGATGGTCCCCTCCCCTCCCCCTGCACTAGTGGTTAGTTATATTAGATTGAGAGGCTTGCACAATGGATAGAATATACCCCCCAAGAATTGCACTAGTATGGCATTTGCTGACCGGGTCCCCTCCACTCATTTTAGACTACAACTCCCATCTGCCTCAGGCCACACAGCTTTGCCCACATTGCCTCATTCATTTTTAGAACAGCCCCTTATGGTAGTCCAGTATTATCATTCCCGTGTTAACAGGCTGGGATTGAGAGGGATTAGCCAAAATTCCATCTAGAGCGTGCAGTACATGGGGTTCCGAGTACTGTTTAGGGTGACTGGCTGCTTTGTGCATTAGTGCTGGCTGGAGGAGATACGTATTTTATAGCAGTAAATGGCTCTAGTGTTTGTGTGAATGGCAGGAGTGGTATTGTCAGCGGTTGCGGTAAGAGTGCGTTTTATGTTAACTTGCATCAGGCTGGCTGCCCAGTGTTTCCCCCCTTCATCTCTAAGTTATATAGATGCAGATAGTATGCATATTCTGTATGTTTGCATTTGGAGTAATCTTAGTCACCTAAGCTTGTGATTAGTGTAATTTATGTATTTTGATTTTCCTTACTGTAAGGAAAGCGCTGATACTGGTGAATAACAAGCAATCTGCAAATGTACTGATTAAACAAATAAGGGTCACTTGGTGTGTTTGTGGCCAAGATGAGATTCAAGCAGGCAACCTCAAAGGTCATTCGTTTAGCGGCTTAACTTGCAAAGGAGCAACCAGGATCCTGGTAGTTACTTTGCAGCAACGTATTTTTCTGCCCCACGTCTCATGTCACCTATGTCATCAGCTGTGGGGCTGTAGTTTGTGAGTTGAGGTAGAACAGCCTCACGGGTCAACTTAGGAGCCCTGCTGGGCTAACCTGGCCCATGGGCCAGAGGTTCCCCACTGCTGATTTAGTAACACCGCCCCCCCCCGCTCTCTTGTAATGAATAACATTCTGCTTGGAAACTCCCCCCCTCCCAACCTTGCAAAGCAGCTGACAACGATCACGGATCACATTTCACATTAGGAGGTGGTGCAGTTGTTTTATTTCGAAGCCACTGTGATGACTTGGCACACACAACGTTGAGTGGTCTTTTGGTCCTGCGTACAAGAGCACATTCACAGATCAAAAGCAGCCTATGTTCTCTCCAGGAGGGGTATTTGCAAAGCTTTTACCCTATGCAAATTCACAAGGGGCCCAACCCACTCACACTTGCTGACATGGAGAAAAGGGGCGGGGTTCGTGATGGTTGTGGCTCCACCCACATTTCATCATGAGCCTCCCACCCCGCAGTGGAACTCCCATAAGCCCCAGTCAACATTGCCAAAGATCACGGATGAGGGGAGCTGTAGCCCAGGAACATTTGGAGGGCTACAGACACGCTGCCCTTGTGCTGGAAATTAAGGAGGATCCAACTGCTAGTTGAAATGGGAGTCACCCCTTCCCCAAATTCAGTCTCACAACAGGGGAAGCAGGAGAGATGAGGAAGTGAGACAAAGACCCTGGTTTGCATGTAAAGCTGAAGAAAACTATGGCTAAGTGTATGAATGGGTGAGTACTCACAGCAAAAACCGCCTCAAAGGTTCCACCATCTTCCTGCTCTGCTGCATCCGGCCAGAGCTAAACTCTAGGGTGGATACGCCTGACAAACTGCGATCAATAAACTAAGAACGAACTATGGCTACAGCTCCTGGCTTGCTTGAAATCAGACACAGCAACAGCCAAGATCAGACCAGAACGCTAAGCCAAATACAGTGGTACCTCTGGTTACATACGCTTCAGGTTACATACGCTTCAGGTTACAGACTCGGCTAACCCAGAAATATTACCTCGGGTTAAAAACTTTGCTTCAGGATGAGAACAGAAATCGTGCTCCGGTGGCGTGGCGGCAACAGGAGGCCCCATTAGCTAAAGTGGTGCTTCAGGTTAAGAACAGTTTCAGGTTATGAATGGACCTCCGGAACGAATTAAGTACTTAACCTGAGGTACCACTGTAATGGCAAAGCAGTAGCAGGGTTGGTGAGAAGTGAAGCTTGTGAGCTTTTGCTGTGAATACCTAGACACTCTCTCATTCACATTTAGTCATAGCTTGGCTTAGTATTATGTGTGAACTTGGCCAAAGAGGATGGGAGAACAAAAAAGGTGGGGGCGGGCGGGAGGGGGTCTCAGCTTGTGGCACTCTCCTGCTTCTCTTTTTACTTCTCATGGGACCAAGAATGAGTGGATGTGGCTCCTGTGGGCAGATGCCAGCAGAGGCCCCAGGCGAGGAACAGCGCATGCAGTCCAGGCGAGGCGTGGAGGGTGCTCTTCACCCTCCGTGCCTCCTGCCCCCGCTGGGAGAGCGCTTGAGCGCAAAGTGGGGGCAGGAGGTGCAGAAGCACTGGCCCACCGGTTGGGGCCTCCAGCAGTGGATGGGAGAGTGCTTGTGTGCTGCATGAAGCATGGGGAAGGTCATCTTCACCCTCCCTGGTATGCAGCTCCCGCCACCAGCAGGCTGCAATGGGGATCTATGTGGGGAGGGGGCTGGTTTGTGCAACCCAAACTGCGCGCCTGGGGCACAGCCCCCTCAGCTTTATGCAAAATTGAATGCTATTCCTTCCAAGTCATGGCAGCACGTATCACCCTCCCTTACAGTTCAGCCTCACAACAGCAGTGAGAGAGACTCCCTCAAGAGAATCCCTGTTCCATTTCCTGCTTCCTGCTCTCAGGCCAGAGTGGTCTGCAAAGAGAATGGTGCAGAGGGACAGGTAGCCCAGGGTTGGCCTGAAAGAGACTCCTATCCTGCCATACAGGCATGACTGCAGGGTGACACTGATGCTATAACTCACAATAAATAAATATTTAACCATTATTTGACTGCTCAAGCGTTCTTCCCTCCTCACAGGTGTAATCCCAAAAGTCAGCTTGGGAGGTAACAATCTGCTAACCACCTTGGATTCCTGCGCCTTTAAGAGCTCTGATGTCTTGGAGGTGTGGTAGGGGGCCAGTTATGCCAACTCCACCCACCTCGCCACCTGTAACAGGACATCTGAATTATCTCACAAGTGCCTACAGGATTCCCAGCAGCATCCACAATGCAGGGTGAGATACTGGCCCAGGCCCAAGAGCTTGCAGTCAGTGTCATGGAAGGAAGGGCTCGAGGGTGAGGTCAAGGACTGAGGAGGTAAAGGAAACAAAGAGACACTGCAGGTGAGGACAGGAATAGTCAGGTGTGGCAAAGGGAGGCTCCAGGAGCAAGCCTGGAAGCCACACAAAGCAGAAGAGGGGGGAGCCTGGAAGGCCGCTGGACAGAAAAACGGATGCCACTTCCGATGAGAGGAACAACATGAGAGAAAGGCCCAGAAGAAAACAAAGACAACTGGGGCATGCAAGTTTAGCCTTTCTAGTCTAAGCACATACTTTCCACAAAGGGTGGGTTGGGTTGTTGGGGACAGGAACTCAGCCTGGGCAGAGGCACAGAGGCGATTGCCATATTCTGTAGCAGCAGCCTTCACCCATTTTAAACCAGGAAAGCGACTTCACTCACAACAGTCAAACAAGTTTAGGGGTGAAAATGGTCAGCTAGAGGGCAAGAAGAACAGAAGGCAAGAAGTATCCAATGTTAAACAATACAGTTTTAAAAAATCACAGATGGACTAACAAATATTAAGAGCTTATAATTATCCAGTGCTTTCTCCCCATAAGAACTCAAAATCCCCCCCCCCCCCGTTGAAAAACATATCTATCACAGGGTATGTCTGTATTTGCTCTTTCAGCCCACAAACTGGTAACTGCTTCTTGGAGGTACAATTCAACTACCCTTCAAAAAAAGGGGGCCATCCAGCGCTGCCTTACCTAAATATCAAAGGAGGCAGGCTTAGGCCTCTGTTCTTTCCACACTAGGGACAAAGACACTTGGAGTCACCAAACACATCAAACCACTCTAGGGCAGAAGACTTGCTACAATTTTCAGTTCAGCCCCCACAGCTCATCCAGCAGAGCCTCTTGGGCTGATGTTGTTGTTGTTTAGTCGTGTCCGACTCTTCGTGACCCCATGGACCAGAGCACGCCAGGCACTCCTGTCTTAGGCTGATACCCCAGTCCAAAGCCTGAAGCAGCTCTTCACGGCTCTTCTTGCCCCAATGCTCATAGAGAGGTGCTCCACCACCCATTTCAACTCGCTCAGGCGCTTTCGCTCCGCAAACTGAGCACTGCCTGTGCCAGTTTCCCGGTGTCCAGCACCTGACTGGCCTCGGCCTGCTGGCAGCCTTTTGAGTCTGTGCCTGAGCTGCAGCTGAAGGAGTCAAAATCCACGGCAATGTCCTGGACGTTCCTCTCATTGGCGTTGTCAAAGCTGTTCTTGCCATGGAGCTGCTTGAGGTGCTTCCTAAGGACGGGCTTGTGGGCAAAAACCATGTCACAGTAGTTGCATTTGTGGGGCTTGTCCCCACTGTGCAGGTTGAGATGGTCCTGTAAGGAGCACTTCTGCGAGAAGGTCTTCCCACAGATCTTGCACTGGAAGGGCTTGATGCCCGCATGCACCCGCATGTGCCGGTGCAAGTTGCCCTTCTGTGTGAAGGTCTTGCCGCACAGCAGGCACATGAAAAGCTTGTGCATCTTCAAGTGGTTGGCGTAGTTCTCCAGATGCCGGAAAACACGTGTGCACTTGGGGCACTGGTGGTGCCACTGAAGGCCTTTGTCCACCCCCCGGTTGCTGGTGCCAAACATGTCTTTGGAAGCCATGATGAGGCTGTCTCCCCCCATGTACGAGAGGGTGTAGTTGTGGAGTTGGCCTTGCTCCAGGTCACCAGCTCGGTTCTCCACCGTGGAATTGATGAGGGAGTGCTGAGGCTCTGATGAGTGGAGGCTGTTCTGCTGCTCTGAGGAAATAAACTGGTTCTGGTCCTTCTTGCTTCTGACCTCTGCAACCTCCCCAATGGACTCCACCTTCACAATTTGGATGTCGCTATCGTCCATGTCCAGGCTGTCTTCAGAGGGTTGGATGCATGGAGAGTCTGGAAGCAAGGAGTCATCTTCCTCCTCCTCCTCCTTACTCCCCATCCTTGGGCACTCGTTTGGCTCTGAAGAGTCAGTCTGCTGCGGCTGCTTCCCCTCCTCCTTGTTTTCAAGCTGATGTTTTGGCCGGATGAATTTCCACAGGGCCTGTGTGCAGCGCTCCACAATGTGGCTCATCTGAAGAAAACTAGCCGCCGTCAGGTAGTTCACCAACTCCATCTCGGGAAACTCCAGGACACCAGTGTAGCAGGACAGAAGCAGCTGCCTCCCAACCTCCGAACTCTGGAGGATGGAGATTTTCACTTCCTTGGAGTCATTCAGCAGGAACTGATCCCTTAGGAAAGGGGAGCCAGCAGCAAAGACTATCTTGTGGCCGTGAACCTCAAGGTTGTCTATGTGGACCGTGACATCACAAAACTTCTTCTCTTCCCTCAGCTTGTCCATTTTTTGCAGCATCGAGTCCCCATAGTTGTCGAACTGGAAGTGGAGGCTATCAGTTCTCTTGGTCATGTTGACAAACCTGAAAGGGGCAAGTGGATGAATACTGTGAATGCCACAGAAAGAAATAGTTTCAAGACTGTACTAGCTTTAAACCAAAAAAGATTCAGACATCAGAAACACAGTGGCGATCTACGACCATAATCAGAGGCCTGCCACTTTCTTCCCCTGTAGCTCTCGTAATGATCACATCATCACAATAATTACTGTTTTCTCAGTTTCCCTGCTTGTCCCAAACCCAATATTGCTGAAAGAAGTGACTGGACTGTGGAAATCACATTAGCTGTTGGAAAGAACCTTAGAAATTAGGTTATTTGCAGTGCAACCACGAATGCATTTACTTAGGAATAAGTCTTACTAAGTTCAGTGGAGCTTACCCTCGGATAAGCGTGCACAGGAATCCAGCCTTACAAAGAAACAAAATGGAAAATAAACATAATAACTGTGGGGGGTGGGGAGGTGTTTCTGAGCAGTCAAAGCAGCACAGATGCACCATCTCATCCTAAACCTACCAATGACATTAAGCACCGAAAAAGGCAAAGGCATCAACCTCTTCACTGGAGGTTTTGAAAGGGAGGCTGGACAGCCACTTGTCAGGTATTCCTTAGCTGTGGTTATTGCACTGCAGGGGGCTGGACTAAATGACCCTAGATGACACAGCTGGTGTGGGATGGTGCTGAGGCCACAACTCAGAGATAGAGTACCTGCTTTGCACACAGAAGGTACCAGCTGAACCCACTCCTCCCCACCCAGAAAGATACACAGACGCCTTCTTGAAGGTCACCAGCTCCTCACGTGACTGTACTTTGGCTCTTTCAAATTCAACACTGAGAAGAGAGGATCACTACAGTACCTCACTCACAAACATAAGAAGAGCCTGCTGGATAAGGTCAGTGGTCCATCTAATCCAGCAACCTGTTCTCACAGTGGCCGACCAGATACCAGAACATGAGCACAAGAACACTCTCCCCTCCCATGGTTTCCAGCAGCTAGTATTCAGAAGCATTATTGCCTCCAATCAAGGAGGTGGAACATAGCTATCCTGCTCAGCAGCCATTGACAGTAGCTTATCTCCTCCATGAATTCAGCTAATTCTCTTTAAAAGCCATCCAAATTAGTGGCCATCACTGCCCAGGGGCAAAACACGAGCATAGGAAGAGCCTGCAGGATCAGGCTAGTGGCCAACTCAGTCCAGTGACCTGTCCTCACAGTAGTCAACCCCAAATGCCGAAAAAGGAAAACCCGCAAACAGGACCCGAGCACAAGGGCTGCAGTCTTCCCTCCTATGGTTCCAGCACCTGGCATTCGGGAGCATTTACTGTCTCAGACCATGACGCAGAACATAGCCTTTGTGGTTGACAGCATTATCTCCTCTGTGAATCCGCCCAGTCCCCTTTTAAAGCCACCCAAGTTGGGGTGAAGAATAGCCCCGCAGGTGAATCGGGCCCAGTCTGTGTGAGGAGGTTATCTAGCCCAGCCTCTGTCCTCACGGCCACCAACCAGATGCCTGTTATAGGAAGACCAGAAGCAGCGCTGCTGCAGCATCAGCATCAGCACAAGAGCTGCTCTCCCGTCCACATTAAGCGCGCTGTCAAAACAACCACCACCCTCAAGTCCCACTCCGCCACCCCCACGTCCCCACTCCCTCCTTTTAGCCAAACCACGCCTCTCAACCTCCAGCTGCATTTACGGAGCAGAAAAACGGCGGCGGCGGCGGCGGCGGACCGCTGTCATGAATGCGGAGGGCGATGGTCAGCTGGGCTCCGCCTCGTAACGCCCCCCCTCCCACCCGCAATCGGAGCGCTCCTGAGGTGGGACAACCTCCGCCGGGTCTAGTGGCCGCGAGTTCCACCAGTCAACGGCAAGCGGGGAGGATCGCCGGCCCCCCACAGACCCCCAGCCTCACCCCACCTCCTCTCCGCCTCCCCCAGGCGGCGCAGCCACGGGGCTGGCCCGAGGGGCGCGGGAAGGACCGCGCGGCCAGCGGAGCTCCTCCGCCACCTCCTCCTCCTCCTCCGCCACCGGAAGCTTGAATCCCCGCAACCCCCCCCCCGCAGCCCCACTTCCGGCGCCGCTTCTTTCTTTCCAGAGAGGAGAGGGATAGACGGGTTGCTAAGGAAGAGGACGGGGCGGGACGGGGGGCGGGACCGGAAGCGCTGGGAGCCGGAAGTGGCCGGGCGCCCGTCTTCCGGCCGAGCCCCGGTCACGTGAGGGCGGAAGGCGGGCAAGGAGGCGGAGGCGGGGGGCGGGATCGAGGTTGCGAGGCGGCCCGACTGAGGCCCGGCGGCGGTGGCGGCGGCGGCGGCTGCGCTGCTGCTGCTGCTCCTGCTCCTGCTCCTCCTCTTCCCGCTGCCCGAGGAGGCAGACGGAGGCCTTCGAGAGGGTAAGCCGGGCGCCGCCCAGCCCGTACCGGAGCGGGGCTGTGGGGCGGGAGGGCGCTGGCCGCCCCTGAGAGGATCCGGGGCTGGGCCGGCCGGGGGGGGGCGGCGGCAGAGAGGGAGGGAGAAGCAGCCGCCGCCGCCCTCGCCCTCGGGCGCTGCACCCCCGGGAGGGTCGGCGCTCCTTGTGTGGAAACAGCGGTTGGCCGGGCGCTTAGCCCTCCCTGGTCTCAGGGATCGAGGGGTGGGTGGGGCTGGGGGCCGGCTCGCCATTATTTATTATTATGGGTAGCTATGACATGTACGTACCGTCCCACATCCGTTAATCCCAGGGCGGTTCACAGCATGAAAATGAAAGGTTAGAGCACAAAATGCGGAATGACAAGAACAAAACAGACCAGTAACACCCCCCCCGCCCCAATTCCAACAAACCCCTTTCCAAGGATATAGGATGTCAGTAAGCTCAAGGCCTGGTTGAAGAAGGTTTGCCACCCCCCACCCCCCCGGCACCTAAAGGTGTATAATGATGCTGCCAGGCAGTCCTCCCTGAAGAGAGCATCCCATAAACGGGGAGCCACCACAGAAAAGGACCATTCTGGTGTTGCCACCACCCTCCGGACCTCTCACAGGGGAGGCACAGGTGACAATAGCAGGGTTTGGGTTGATAAATTTGGCCCATGCATAACACTTACAAACGATTGTCATGTCACCCCTTGGTCATATTTTCTCCAAACTAAATGCTTTCAGGTTCTGAAATCCTTTCTTGCTTGGCTGCAACCCCTATGTGGATTCCTGCTTCTGGAGTGTAACAAAATCTTCCTTATATTACTTATTTTAACAATAATTCCTCTTTGTACAGTTGCTTTTTTATGGATCTTCTCAGTAGACACCTGTATAAATGTAGACATTCATATTATTATTTTGCACCCCCTCGGCTCACCTTCCTATGCAGCGGAACCACCCGCACCTAAATCCTGTGCTGGTAACTCCTATCATTCTTGACCACATTGCTGGGTGGGGCTGATGGGAGTTGGTGTGCAGCAATTTGTGGAGGACACCAGGTTCTGCATTCCTGACATAAAAGCTACTGCTGTTGTCACGATAATGCTCTCTTGGAGCGGGCACACAAAGAAGGACCTCATAATTTGGTATACAAATGATGTTAAATAAAAATAAATTATTTGCAATTGTGTTGGGGTGCTGCTGTTGCTCTTGCCAACACCTGGTGTTGCTTTGGTGTTGCATATCCTCTGTGCTGTCTCACCATTCCTAAAGACTCCAGTGTGATGGAGAGTATTGCATGAGAAGTGGTGAGGCCCAAGTTCAAATCCCCTTTCAGTCATAAAACACAGTGGGCAACCTTGGGCCAGTCGTTCTCTTTCTCAGCCTGACCTACTTCACAGGATTGTTGTGAGCATAAAGGCAGGCGGAGGGGAGTAGGCCCCCGCTTGCTGCCTTGAGCTCCACGGAAGAAAAGTGAAAGTTAAATTTACTGAATAAACTGGGTTGTTGTTTTTGTTGATATTGAAAATAATAATCATGACACAGTATTATTAGCAGTGATAACAATATAGTGGCTGTTTGTGTTGTGTTTCCACTAAAAAGTACCTGAGACAAGTGCAGTAAAATTTCTGGAGCTGCGTTTCTTTGTCTCAGGCAATATTTTGGTGTCCATGGTATGAGCCTTCACATGTTTTGGGTTAATAGTCCACAGAACAGCCCTGTAAGTTATGCTGGTTTGAGTAGCTCTGCAGTGTAAGTATGTGTATTGTGGGAAAGACTGAGAGAAAAGTAGCGCTCATAAAGGTAGCCAGTGATGCTGCAGCTGAGGTTTTAATTGGGGGCATCTTTCAGTACAGTGGAACCTCGAGTTGCGGACATAATCTGTCCTGTTGGCACATCTGCAATTCGAAGCATTCGTATCCAGAAGTGCCACGTCTGCACAAAGGGCGATTTAGTGCTTCTGCGCATGTGCAAAGCGCAATTTAGTGCTTCTGCACATGCACGAGCAGCAAAACCCGGAAGTAACAATTCTGGTACATCCGGATTGCAGTGGGACACAACTTGAAAAGACTGTACAGTAACATCTCTGTATGTGTCATATGCATAAAAAGCCCTGAGATGTAGACTGGTACTGACTACTCATGTAATGGTGAGTTGATAGCTTGAGCTCTTAACTCATGGATCTTCTCAGCTCAGCTCCTCATTCTGTACCTTGATTGAGGGGAACCATGGAAGTTAGAAGATTTGGGCTGCTGACCTAGTGTTGTCCCAAATGGAGGAGGATTGCAGAGCTTTGCCAAATCCTTAGGAAAAGCTGGTTGAAAAAATATTTATCTTGGATTTTGTATTTATTTATGTAATAAAATTTACACACTGCTTTAAAAGTTTCAAAGTGGTTTACAAAAGATAAAACAGTACACTCGTACCTTGCTTCTCGAATGGCTTAGTTGCCGAACAAATTGGCTCCCGAATGCCGCAAACCCAGAAGTAAGTGTTCTGGTTGGCAGACGTTTTTCGGAAGCCGAATGTCTGATGCAGCTTCCGCTTGAGTGCAGGACGCTCCTGCAGCCAATCGGAAGCCGTGCCTTGGTTTTTGAATGGTTTTGTGAGTCGAACGGACTCCTGGAATGGATTAAGTTCGAGAAACAAGGTACCACTGTAAAATCAAGAACCCCACTTCAAAACATATAAAAGTTAAAATGCTAAAGCAAGTTAAAATCACCTCGACTTTCTAGGCATCTGGATGGGCTTGTCTAAAAAGGAATGTTTTTAGTAGGTACCAGAAAGAGTACAGTGAAGATGTCTGCTTTATCTCAGTATGCAGGGAGTTTTGAAGCGTAGGGTGCCATGTTTTTCTCTTGTAGGTGAAGACAGAAGAATAGGGAGGTTCTTGAGATGGTTTTCCTTCGTGGTGGTTTGATGTCAACATCTATGGTATTGTTTGCCAACCTGGCATCCTCCACATGTTTTGGATTGCAATTCCCATCAGTCCCAGTCATTGTGGCCATGCTGGCTGGGACTGAAGCGAGTTACAGCCCAAAACATCTGGAGGGCAGCAGGTTGACAAAGACTGGCCCGTGTAGTCTGGTTTCATGCCCCACTCCTCTCTGTTTCTTGGCCCTTCTCCTTTCAGCTACATGGGAGTCCATAAAATTTATCTGAAGGTGTTTTAGAGCTGATCTGCTTCAAATGAAACAACACCATGATGGTAGCCAGGTCTGTGGGACGAAGCACTCATGCTTGCTTCTATAGTTTCTGTAGGGTGTTCGCTTACAAAGCTAGGATGGGGTGGAGAGGGGTGTGTGTGTGTTGCTGGGCTGTTGACAATCTGATTGCTGTAGGAGGTAGAAGTGAAGCTGCAAGGGTGTGTGCACCCCAGAAGTGCCTGGGCTGTGTTAGGAATACAAGTGTTAGGAATACAAAGGCTTTATCCATGCAAAGTGTGTGTGAGGGGATAAACTTAGCCAGCACAAGATTAGTACTGGTTTGGCAACAATATTGTGTGGTTGGGGAAAGAACGAGGTTTTTCTGACTTTTACAAGAGGGAGTGGTGAAAAACAGTAAACTTGTTGTCTTTTATTCCTGTATATATCTGATTTGGCATTTGGTGTTTGTTTTAGAAGAAGTTTTAAGAGAGGAACTGAACCGGAATTAGAACAGTGCACATACACAAGACGCACACTGCAAAGGCGTGGGGGAGGGAGGGGGAATGAAAATCAGTTGACACCACAGCCATCTGCCTGCCACTGCCCCACCCCCTGAGGTATTTGCTATGCTGGCTTAGTTGGATGAGCATGTTATGCTTAGAATTACCTGATTGCAGGCTGTAACTCCTTTGATAAAGGACAGGGAGTGTTTGTGTAGCTTGAGCACCAGCTTCTTGGTCCCACAATACAGTGTACATAACTAAGAGTGCTACTGCACAATACTGGAAAGAAATTGGTTGTAATGGCAGGGCGAGGCAGAACTCATGGACCACAA